CTCGGGAACACACCGATCCACATGATCGTGTGGAGAGCGTCTTTCCTCCTCCTCCACCTCCATTAGAGGACTCTCGCGGTGGCCAGCGCTATCTAGTTGAGCAGCTGTTGAACCACCGCGACGTGAACGGACGTCGGACGAGTTATCTCGTCCGATGGCGCGGCTATCCCCCGTCCTGGGATTCTTGGGAACCCCGCTCCCAACTGATGATCGACGTACTGGGTCTGGTTGAGCAGTACGACGCGGCACATCCTGTGCCGCAGAAGGACCGCCGGAGAAAGTCTTCCCGGCGCGGTCGTAAAGGGATTTCAAGTTGTCAATCCCTTCGTACATCTCAATAGAGATACGTACGCGCCACCACGGGCTGGTAAGGAGGTAAGCCTCCTTAGGTGCTCGTGCAGAGTTGTTCACACAACATGGGCACGAGTCTCCCCAAGAGAGGCAGGGTAATCCTTTCTCCCTTGACAGACGATGCAGCTTGTAGCGTGCACCTGTCGGGGTTCGCTTTTCAAACTTATCACGAGCTTTGATAAGTTTGTCGTTCCAAGCGTCACGACCTACATCCTCGAGGTTATGGATGTAGGCGTTCCACGCCTGAAGTAGTGAGGGACCATCACGTTTGTGATTCCCACTGTACCATCGATGTCTAAAGAAAGCATCGATGAAGAATTCATGTTCAGCGCGATAGTTTTTCGCGCTGGGGTCAAGGTGATGGATCATTGACGAATCGAACAATCGTGTTCGATAACGATCACTCGTCGTCGCCGACAAGTGATCCATGACGGATTTAGAAGGCATCCATGCCTTCCTTTCTGGAGCGAGACGCAACACATTGCGGTCCCGCTCTTCCTGCGACGTGCCGACAGAAGTACTGGCACCTCGCTGTGAAGTGGTGTCCATAGGTGAACCGACACCACTGTTAGCGCCCGAGTCTTGCGACCTCGAGCGCCTTCGCTTCGGTGATGGTTCATCTGATTCATCAGATGAACCAAAGATGCTGCGACGCAAAGCATCGTCCATGCCACGCTTGGCAGGCGGCTTAGATTCAATCGCCGTCGATACGGATCCATCATCCGTATCAGGAGAGTACGAGACACCGAGCTCGTACTCTGTGAAGACACGAGTGTCTTCATGACCAGCGCCTGCATCACCAAGTGACACAGGCTGAGTCGATTCAGCAACCGATGGGATATCAGTTGCTGTAGTTTCTGCTTCGGCGTCCGCACAGAGACGTGCGGACGCGCTCTCGGCGGCCTTGCTCGCGCATCGCATGGGCTTGTTTACCTTGCGATGAGATGTTGGAAAGTGGACGCGGACCAACAAGTGCAAACCCTGTCCCAACTGATTTGGGACGAGTATCCATTTAGTCAATCAGTCGCTAAAGTGACTGATGGTTAAGGGGGGGGTGATGTAACGGGGTGAACCGTTACATAACAATTTATAAGAAATTGTTAATAGAATATAACTATAAGAGTTTTATTCTCAGAATATTGTCATAAGGACAAATATTCTGTAGCACTTACGAGTAGTTCCTAATTGGTTGATATAGGCCATTATATCAACCAACGAAGACGCGCCACGACAGACGCACGCAATGAGTGGTGAGCAGATAACTGATTTACACATTTGTATTTAGACATAGTTAGATGAAGATAAATAGTGATTTATTGCAGACATTAACTATTATAAATACAGTTCTACTTTTTACTTTAACCAAGTACTCGCTTCTTCTTACCGTCTTCCTCTGCACGTACGAGTGTACGTGAAGTTACGAGGCACCGCCTTATTCTGTCATCAGAATAAGTAGCTTGTACTGTCACCAGTACAAGCTTCAGGGTGCCCCGTTACACCTCTCTAGGGGCACATTTCGAGCTGTCAAGGCAACCTGGACGCGAATCTTTCTCGAGGGACATCGGAAACCTTCCCCTCTTGACAGCCGGTGCAATTTGTATTGCAACCTGACCGAGTTGCGCTTTTTTTCAAGCCTGATGCAAGCTGCATCAAGTGTACCGATATAGGCCTCACGGCCAATGCACTCGGTGTTATGAAAGAGTGTGTTCCATCCTTGTACCAAGGCTTTTCCGTCTCGAACACGGCTGCCATTGTACCATCTATGTTTGAAAAACGCATCGGTGAAGAACTCTTCCTCAGCACGGATAGTTTCCTTGCTGTAATCAGGTGGACAAATCTTCCTGCAATCGAACAATGGAATTCGATCTCGATCGGTAGTCGTGCCGGCCAACCGGTCCAACTCTCTGGATGGCGGCATCCATGGACACTCCACCTGAAGAGCGTGGAGCAGGACATTTCGTTCCCTAGCCTCTTGATTGGTGCCAGCATGAGCACTGGCACCAGTGACACCTCAATCCTATAAGTGGCTTTTCTCGTGGTGATGCAGAGGTGCATCACCACCATCTCCACGCGCCTTTGGTGGATGGACTTGCGTGATGCGGAGACTCATCGGAGTAATCACTCGATCCGAAGATCTCGGTCATGATTCTGCCGCGCTGAACAGAGCCAGTCAGCCAGGCTCTTGCAGTGTCCACCCCGGGTGATCCAGAAGCGTGAGTTGTCACCTTCTAGCAGGATGCACCATCCAACTCACCAGAATAGATGAGCTCTATTTCAGACTCATCTGGATAACGATTCGCGGTACCCGCTTCAGAAGCAATGGATTTACCTGTCGCACGTGGTGACTTACCACGTGGCCTGTTCACAACAGCAGGCGACAAATCACCTGCTGCTGAGGTGTAAGAAGTACTATCTCCGGCTGCACGCACGCGTGCAGCCGCCTTTCTTGCTGCTGCAGTAGCAACTCGCATGGGTATCGAAATAATGCGTTGGATTGGCAAATGAATGGAATTGGACAAACAAGTGCTCCTTTCCCAGAGTGATCCAACGGTGTTAATCATGTTTCAATCATTCTAATTCAAATAACGGCTGATTGATGGTTAATGAGGGGATGTAACGGGGTAGCTTGTTACATGAGGTTGACACCAAACGGTGTAAAAAGGAAAATTGGCTACCATGACAATATTCTACCGATATTATCCGAGATGGATGATATTGAAGGAACATTATCCCCTTGTAGGATAATCTTCATGCGCTGCACAAAGTTTGGTTGACATCAGACATACCGACCATATATTGCCACCAATCGCTGCCGTACGCGCGCAATGAGTGGTGAGCAGATTGTCGTCATACGACGACGTAATTTAATCTAGTTAGATCAAGACTGAAGTTACAGTGATAGCTTAACTGTATTACATACAGGTCTCTTTTACCCTTTACTCAGATTAGCTGTTAATTAGATTAGCTTCCTCTGCACGTACTAGTGTACGTGAAGTTTCTTGGCACCCCAAACAAAGGGTGCCCCGTTACATGCACGGTCTTGACTGGACAAGAAAGTGCTATTTCACAAGCTGAACCCGCTAAAATGGAAATTAAGGGTTTGTGCAGTAAATTTGCGAGAGCTGGCTTACTTGTGACTTGACTCTCTAAGCTCTACAAAATAAAAGGCTGGGGGGCTGAACCCCTAATTGTTCTGCTGTTCTAGCCGATCGATGGCGATCGTAAAGCAAATAGTCTCGCCATTGACTTTGGAAATGGACTGACGTTCGAAAAGGTACCGTGAGGTCGAAGGACTCCTGCTTCAGCGAACAACAGTACAAAACTGGATGAGCACGAAGTCTGACCACGCAGCGACGAAATGGTGAAACGCTACCAGAAACATATGGTACGTTTGACACAAAAATACTCATAATTACCTCAGTAATCACAAATTATCTCGGAGTTTCAGCAAATGTCGCTAGCTCCGTTGACCTCAGCCACAGTTTAGCTAGACAAGATCGCTTTTTGTGGAGCATTCAACACAATTGTGACCAAAATTACCGTGTACTTCGATCACCTTAAAGGGCGTGGGAAGTAGACTGACCATTAACAACCAGAGAATATCGAGAGCCACGGTTAACGTATTAACAACCAGAGATTTTATGAGGCCACAGTCAAAGGGTTCAAGGCTGTTGCGACCAACAATTCCATTCATCAAACGATACAACTAAATTAAACAGAGCGAGCGTTGCGACTAGCGTAAATAGCGTCAGCCGCGACAAAATATTTTACACAACAACAAAAAAAGCGCCGCCAAGAGAACGGTAAGTGATGTTAGTACCCTAGCTTATGATTTCATAGCTTTAACTAGTTATTCTCTTTCAAGTAGAAAAGCGACGACCGCAGAACCGTCGGTACAATTCCATCAACCCAAAAAAAGAGGTCCCCGAGATACGAATACAGCGACGGAGAGTGTAATGCTGTTCGAATGGTAGCCGACAATTCAATTGATTTCAAGCTTGATCTTTTATGCATCAAGGGTCAGCTTGAGCAATCAAAATTAGCTCGTTGTAAGGCATCACACACCAGAAGACAATACAGTAATGTGATCAGCTAATTCACAATCGAGTCGCCCTTACTCAATTCAGGTAATATGATAGAACTAATTAATTGATCCCCCCTTGCTACCTGCATCAGACCTTCCAAGCTTTTTTTATATTGATGAATACGTCGAATGACGCAATCAAAATACCTTGAATGTGCTTTGTAAATGGTCACACCAACCACCAGCTATCGACCAATGACGTTTAAACATACAACACGTCGTTATTCGATTCCTAAAACATTTTGATCAATTGATCCGAGTTCTCTGTGGTTGCACGCATCGTCATCAATCAAATCATGTCGTATCCCGCATGTCGTTCGGGTTCGCGTATCACAAGTCTTAGTGTTGGATTGAGGTTGTGGAGGCAAATGCCGAAGTGAGTAAATTTAAGTTAGCTTTACCACTCTCTGTTATCTTACTTTCCTTAAATGTACTTCTAGAATCGTCTGCTTACCAAGCATAACATTTGTGCCAAACAGGTGACCGTATCTGAGGGTCAGGGTCACAGTTCACACGGTCACGAACCGTGCAAGAGCGGGGCACATGTTAGCACTCCTACATACCGCTATGGCCCGAGGATCTTATTCGTGATGCCGTTTTCGTTGCGCAGGAGCTTAAGCGTCTTGGTCCCTAGTGAAATTATTAGAATGTCAGCTAGTTGATTCTTGGTGTCAATGTACTTGATCGTGATCATTTCACACTCCACATTCTCTCGGATGAAGAGATGGCGAATGTCCACGTGCTTCGTCCGGGCATGGTAGCCAGCGTTCTGCGCCAAAGCGATCGCGCCCTGGTTGTCTTCCAAGATTGTCGTAGCGCTCTGCTGAAGCATCCCCATGTATGTAAGCATTGCACGCGTCCACAGCACCTCTTAAACGCACAGACTTAACCCATGTACTCAGCTTCCGCAGAGGTGAGCGCTACCGTCCTCTGGAACTTTTACTTGGGCACTACCGGCGCGTTCCCAATCATCGCCATGAGACCAGAGTCTGAATGCCCGTCGTCAACGTTCGTATCTTGATCTGAGTCCGAGTACGCTTTGATTATAACATTATCCGTTCCATCTTGATCGATGATTCCGTGCTGACATGTTGATTTAAATTATCGTAGAACACGAACTGTAGCGTTTCAGTGTTGCTGTACGGGGTTCTCCAATAAACGCGAGAGCTGAGTGACCACGAAAGCTATGTCCGGACGAGTACATGTCGTGATGTACAGTAGACACCCGATCAGATAACGATATGGTTTTAATCGCATTGCGTTCCACTATGAAATCTTGTCAGGTGACTGCGACTTCGATAACCTGAGCCCAGCTGCACATGGGTTGTCGACAGGCTAAGCGTTCTCCTGTCCGAAGCGTTTCACCATATCGTCATTGTACCGCTTCTGCTTGATCATAAACGTCATAGATGTCGTACTATGGTCGATTCATCTCTAGGATAAACTTTTCCGGTCGAGCTCCTCGCTGTGAATGTATTCCTTAACGCTTCCTTCACGTCCTTGACCTCTTCGCTTGTCTTAGCTACAATGATTTTGTCGTCCACATACAGGCACACATACGCGAAATGTTCCGGGTACGCTACACATAGACGCACTCTTCCGCAACACAGTTCTTGAAACCATTCTGCAAGAAAACGGCGAATCGTCTGTTTCCAAGCACTTGCTGCCTGCATCAAACTATACATGGCCTTCTCCAATTGGCACAGCACACTTTTAGCGTTCTTCACACCGAATGGAACTTCCATGTAGACAAGCTCCACCAAACCACTGTTCAAGAACGCTGTATCCGCGTCCAGCTGCTCCATCACATACTTGTATGCCGCACGCACAGCTAGCACAATTCGAATTGAGTTCATGTTTGCCACCGATGAGTAGGTTTCAAAGAAGTCTATTTTGAACTTCTGCTTAAACTCTTAAGCTACCAGCCGAACCTTGTAGCGGACCACTCGACCGCTATCGTCATGCTTCTTGGCAAACACCCAACGGAACCCGATCGGACGGCTAGCCGATCCACGTGGAACGAGAGTTAATGTATGTTTCCGATCAAACGAGAGAAGTTCAGCGTCCATAGCCTTACGCCATTCAGCTGCTTCGTCACCAGCGATAGCTTCTGGAGCAAATCTCATTATCAGGACCACAAATGTCGAAAAGTCCCAAAACCAGGGCTATAGTTTAATCGAGTCTAAATTTATCGATTTTATACTTGGGTTGAGTATGAAAACCAGCATAGTGTTAGCCACATTATGCTCAATTGTAAAATGGAATAAGAAACTGCCTGATCACTACTGAGTCTTTCCATTTTTTAGACAACTGTCGCGAGTGGTCGAAAAATGCTCTATTTTTACCAACGGTTCGTTCACTTCTCAATTCGCGCCCACGAGCCGATGTGCCCATTTCGGGTTGGGCACATTGCGTGCGAGCCAGGGCCCGGTCGCACGCACCCGACGCGCTCGTGACCGGGGCACTCCGTTATTATATCACCTCTCATGAGCAGCGGTAGCAGTTAATCATGCTGATGATGTCGATTGTGCTGTCTAACGATCGTATGCTTTGTCTGTGTGTATGTGTTGCAGTGCGTTTCAAGTGATGTCGAGTGATTTCGAGTGATATCAAGTCGTGACGAGTGATGTCGAGTGGTACCAAGTGATGTCGAGTGATGTCAAGTGATGTCGAGTGATGTCCAGTGATGTCGAGTGGTTTCCAGTGATGTCAAGTGATCTCGAGTGGTGTCAAGTGGCGTCGAGTGATATCGAGTGGTTTCAAGTGATGTCGAGTGATGTCCAGTGATGTCGAGTTGTATCGAGTGTGCTGGTCATGTCATATGTGCAGTTTAACGATGAAAACATGCGTAAAATCGTGGCTTATCGAGCTAGCAAGATTTTGATAGGTGTATCAAACGATAATAGAATGAGCAAATTTATCATTTTAAACTCGTGGAATAATTGTTTTTCCTATTAGATTGTATTTAAAATTCGCTGTATAACTATACTGCACGTCAAACTTGAAATGTACAGCAACTAAAAAAGCAAAGTTAATTTATGATTCTTATCCAAATCACTCGACATCACTTGAAACGCACTGCAACGCATACACACAGACGAAGCATACGATCGTTAGACAGCACAATCGACATCATCAGCATGATTAACTGCTACCGCTGCTCATGAGAGGTGATATAATAACGGAGTGCCCCGGTCACGAGCGCGTCGGGTGCGTGCGACCGGGCCCTGGCTCGCACGCAATGTGCCCAACCCGAAATGGGCACATCGGCTCGTGGGCGCGAATTGAGAAGTGAACGAACCGTTGGTAAAAATAGAGCATTTTTCGACCACTCGCGACAGTTGTCTAAAAAATGGAAAGACTCAGTAGTGATCAGGCAGTTTCTTATTCCATTTTACAATTGAGCATAATGTGGCTAACACTATGCTGGTTTTCATACTCAACCCAAGTATAAAATCGATAAATTTAGACTTGATTAAACTATAGCCCTGGTTTTGGGACTTTTCGACATTTGTGGTCCTGATAATGAGATTTGCTCTAGCTTCTGCATACGTGTTGAATGTGTCTTCAACACCGTCGATACTCGCAGCATATGCCAAAAACAGCCTCCGCAAGAAATCCTTCTTCGTAAATTCTGGTATGCTTCGGCGAAGGAGGTCCATCAGTCCATTCAGACAGCCGTTCGTCATCAGCGTCCACACCGTCCTTAAGAAGAACACTGGCTCTCTCGGACGCCTCGAGCGTGCCGCCTCAGGTGATACCACGCGATCTTCTTTGTACGTTGGTGGCGGCAGATGAAACGCAGCCAGTTCCAGCTCAGTTTTGCCGGTTCAGATGGAGGCATGTAGGATTAAAAATCCTCTTCCTCAGGTTCCACGTCGTCCATCTCCGCATCCGGAATAGGTTCCTCTGCAGGTTCCATGTGTTCATCCATAATCGGCTGACGTTCCTCAGTATGGGAACGGCCCCATCATCACGGTCCGTACTTATTTGAGTGACCATTCCAAGTTGCGATTTTTGCGTGTCATATATACCGCCCACCTCACGCTCGTCCAGCTTGACCGACCATGACGTCTTGACCTTGGAATCGTCCAAGCCAAATAAATGGTATCCATTTACGGTTACGGCATACCCAAGAAACATACAGCTAAACTTCTTCGACTCGAGCTTCGTTCTCCTCGCATCGTCAACGTGAGCGTAACCCTGCAATCCGAACACGCGCAAGTACTCCATATGGAGCTTCACCTTGAAACTCAACTTGTACGGTGTCGAGTCCGCGTGTGCCGTGTTTATGGAACGATTAATAAGGTACACTGCTGTACTTACAGCTTCAGCCCACCATTCTGTTGACACACCCTTGTAGTATGGATTGCTTAGTGCCTTCTTCATGATGGCATGATTAATACGTTCCGCCACTATATTCTGTTGAGGGCTACACAGCACGGTTCGTTGATGCATGATTACCGGTTCAGCTGCGCATCTCATCTACCGTCTTGTTCACGAACTTCGTTCCATTTTCTGATTACAGACACTAAAAATGTTCCCCTCATCGAGAAACATTTCATAGAACGCTTGGAACCCCTTCACTTTGTCGGCCACCTCACTTTTATACTTCAGGAAGTACGCTACTACCTACCGTGAGTAGACGTCCACGAGTGTCAGCACATACTTTTGCGCCACCCTTTGAGAGCGTTATCGATGAGTTCATCTCATCCGTGTGAAAAAGTTCCAACACATGCGAAGTCTTCGTCACAGATCGTGAAAAGAACAACGTAACGGTCTATTGCCTTTCCTTCATCCGCCACACAGCTTTTCGATGCCTTGCTTAGCTGCAGGTATGCCGTTTGTGAAACGCTGGGTCTTGATCAGTGCATCCTTACTTGGGTGTCCTATGCAAGCGTGCCACAGCTCTCACTTTATGTCGGCTCCTGAGTACTCCACAAACCGTTCTTCTTCTTGCTGATAGTGGAGCAGGGGCTTCTTACCTACCTTGTTCCCCATAGCAATCGCGCTGCTTGCACCCCGGATGATGCACGAGGAACGATGGAGCTCAACACTTGAGCCACGCTTAGCTATTCTACCAACCGACAGGAGGCGTCTGTCGAGTCCTGGTATGTACAAGACGTCGATCATCTTGAGCGTCTTTCGTCGAGACCAGTCAACTTGACTGTTCCTCTTCCACGAACGCGTAACTTCTTGCCATTCGCAATAGTCATCTTGACGCCATCGTTCAAGGTCTCGTAGTCGAATAGGTCAGAGCGATGCGGGGTCTTGTGCGATGAAGCGCCACAGTAGATCAACCAGCCGTTCCGGCATTCCTCGCTTAGAGGAAACACAGCTTCGTTCCCGCTGCCACCTCTCTGACTCGTACAGTCCCGCTTCATGTGACCTACTTGGTCACATCCGAGGCACTTGCCCTTGAAATTATCACCCTTCTTGTGTGGTACGATCCCCTTTCGACTGTGTTATTGGTCGCCTTTGAACCTTTAGCATTCCCGGCACGGAACGCTTTATCCAAGCTGGTGTCCTTCTTCTCAAGCCGCTCGTCCTCCTTGAGAAGCTTCTCCTTCTTCCAATCAGTAAAGCGTACTTTGCGTTCTCCACAATAGATGCAATCATCTCTTACTCAGAAGGAAGACTGCACAATAGAACAACAAGCTGTTGTGCCTCGTCGACGTTTTCCCCTAGTGTCTGCAACCCGACGACTAGCTCTTCGAAAGCGTCCAGATGCTTGGCCATAGCCTTTCCGCTCACCCTCTTGAATTCATGCAGAGTTCGTGCCATGGTAACACGATTCTGGAGCGTGCTACGATTGCAGAAGTCCCGTACCACCCCTATGCGTGCATGGCACGTGAAGCAAATCGAATCTTCGTCTGATGCTGTAGTTCCACACCTTTAGCAATGATCCCGAGTGCCTTCGCGTCACTATTGAGCCACGCCTTTGTGATCTCGTTATTGGGCTTCCGAACTTCAACATGCGCCAAACGGCCCTTTTGGTCCAAGTTCATGCGCATTTTGTAGTCCCCGTGATAGTAGTTCCTACTCCCCAGGAGTACTTCGGCGCTTTTGGAGTTCATGTCTAGAGCGCTACGGTCAGTAGCGTTGCGGCTGTTAGATTGTAAAATTGAGATTGTCGTTGGAGGCAAATGTAGAAATAAGTAAGTTTAATATACCTGAGATTACTCTCTGTTATTCTCCTTTCTTTAAATGTCCCTTCATCCAATTAGGTGACGTATCTGAGGTTCAGGGTAAGTATCAACACACGGTCAAGAACCGTGCAGGAGTGAGGCTCATTAGAACACTTAGCTTACAGAGCTAGATCTTGCTATAGTAGTATCTCTTAATCTATATCCCCATCTTGGTAAATGTATCTTAGCATCTTATTTAGGTTGATGTTGGAATGGATGTATATACCAATTCGCACTAGAGATTCATAAAAAAAAATTTGTAAGGATAAAATGTTTTCTTCTATGGTGGCAAGACCTTCAAAAAATTAATAGATTATCAGCAGCTGAGAACTGCTCGGTCTAAAATTCAACTTGGATGTACAAAAATGCGCGCTGTCAGAGCATTTTTTCAAGCCTTTTTATACCGTAAAAGTCGTTCCTGCTTGTACGTGCACGGATTCTATCCGGCGCATTAGCAGTTTCAGATATCGGCCGCATCCACTGCGGTAGTTATGATCCAAGTTACACCGCCTGCTAATTTAAATTTGAGCATATTTCATCCACATTTGACTCGCCACTGCTCAATGGTGACGCTCCCCATTTAACAGTTAGCTTCAAATTTAAGCCACTCGTAGCGACATTTTAATCGAATCTATTTGCGGTGGCTTAATTTTTTAATTGTATGCGGCACCACTTAGTATACCGTTTGTTGCTATGAACTCGACTGAAAGGTGTACAAATAGCATTTTCTCGTGTCTTTTCTATTGTCCTACAAGAAACACACCAGCATATACAGCGGATTGTAGATCTTCACAAAATTGAACACCTAGAGCTCTTACAACAGTGCAGATTTTAAATGAACCGATTAGAAGTCGGTTGTCATCGTGTCAAAAAGAGTACACTGCTTTGTCAGCCTTGTGACTTCGCTTACCGAAATCTCTTTTCTTTTAGAACATTTACAATCCAGCTGATTTTACACACTTAGCTTTGCTCACACTTTTACAGTCTTTAATCAATTCATCTTACAGTGATCCTTTTTGGAGCTCGAGTTTTACTCAGTATTTTAATAGGCACTGGAGCATTCTGGATACACTGCTCTCAAAAAAAAACCTGTAGCATTTTACCATTTAACCTGTAGCGTTTTACCCTAATCGTTCGCCGTTTGGTTAATAAACCGGCGCGCTTCATTATAGCGTTGATATATGCGCGGAAACGAACATAATACTGTTATCCTTTGGAATGCTTTAGCGCATTTTTGACGTATTAGTATATTCCACTGCGTGCACGTCTGTGAATGCGATATCCTTGCTCGAGAAGCTTTACTACCAGTCACCTGATTTCTATTTCTAGTTTATTTCCCACTTTGCTCGTAAGCTTCACTTGTTTTGAGTGTCTCAATCTAATGCCAACTAGAAAACGGAAGATTAACAGTCCAGGTATGTATTTACCCATGCCAAGAACTTCTGGTAATCTGCGCATTATTATATTCTGACAACCTCCTTCGGCACTCGCTTTGTAAGACATTTACTTTTTCTTAAATGACAACTGTATCAGACACGTCACCTTTTCTCAAACGGCCGGGATAAAAACTCATACCGTTAACAGTGTTTCTGTCAGAAATTACTTGATATTTTAAAAGTTTAGTGTACAAGCGTTCGTGCTATTAAATGATTGGAGTAGGATCGGCCAAATTTTTCTTCTTTAGTTCATTACGCTCGGTTAAGAGGTATCGTTTTTCACCCAGGAGATATGATTTTACACAAACTTTTTTCGCTAAGTGTTACAAAAATTGCCTTTTTCGTCCAGTTGGAGTTGCCTTTTTTTACAAACTTGTTCCGCTTAGTGTCACAATCCGACCAATATCGTTTTTCGAGATATGTACGGCGAGATGAATAGAAGAATCCATTTTTTTTTGCTTTATCCTGCCCAAAACATTAGATATGCAAATTCGCCTTGGGGATCTGAGGCGAATGCTTGTAATCATTCAGCTGCTTATCTATCAAAATTTTGCTGTGGTGGGGCATAGATCGTCCTTACTGATGCACTCATTTTTTCCAATTATTTTTCTTTCTGTACACAAAGTTGATTGCACATTATACTCCTTATCGTTCATAATTATATAGACTCTATAGACACGTGGATTGTGCTGCCAAAACCTCGCACCATTATGTGATAGTCTCGCGAGTGTTTTTTAAATTATGAAATGACCGATCATGGAGCGGAATCATTGAACCTGACCTCATTTCTACTGACCTGCCTTCATTCTATTTATTGGGATTGTTTATTGTATCAGACCTCGCGACGCATCCTTGCAATTTCAATTGTAGACACGATAGTCGAAAGCTCAATGAAGTACCTAGTTTATACACGGTAGACAACAATTCTTTTTTAGTTCATCATCATTTTTACCGGTACGTCCACAAGCCTTCTAACAAGAATTGTGGAGCCGTTAACACCTCTTTTAACCGATTAATGTCACTCGTTCTTATTTTCTTGTCCCTCCCCCTTCTCGCAGTAGCCTTGCTTTATTTATTGGACTTTTTTTAGCTTCATCGTGCTCCGAAACCGCTCTTTATGATAAATTTCTTCCTCCCACATTGAAAATATCTGGAATGAGTGTGTCCGGATCTTACCTGGGACTTCCATAATTTGTTGACGTTCATCACAACCTTTTGATAAACAGCTTGAGTGGTCACATTGCACACCCCTTGCTAAATTACAGTGTGCTTGTGACCTGTTGGAGTATCCGTAAGAAAGGCTGTCGTGTTGGTAGGTCAAACAGATTGATCAGTTCTTGATGCGTTATTGCAACGCCCATTAAAGCAGTCATACCATTTCATCGTCCGTGACAGCAGTCTCAGCGCCCTTGTTGTACAACCGTTGCAGGAGGATTTCCACCTTCTTTTCAAAAGGTCACACCTTAAATTGTCTCTACTTTGTGAATGATGGTACAGTTGCCGCCGGTCTAATCACATCTCATCAGCTTTGGCGCTTGCCGGGAATGTTTAAACTAGCCCCGTATAGCTCAAACGCCCATCGGGGCAATGTGCTTTTTTCGCTTTCTCGTAGCTTAAAGCTCCATTGCTGATCCGCTGCGTATACGTTTGATGCTGCATTGCCATCATTGCCTCCTACCCCCCTTCGAGCTTACAATTAACTTATCTTAACGGTTGTACAAACATTTGAGATGCATGGCCGAATGTGTGAGAAAACCACCGAAGAACGAAACCACGCTTTCCATGATCAGATTTCCCGCTTCCTTACTGGTGAGCCTTCTTGCACTCACTAGTTACAGGTACTGTAAGCAAAGCATATTGTTGACCTGAAAAAGAACAATTGTGACCTTCTCTCTCTTATTCTCATCATTTATCGTATGCATATTTTTACATATGTACGCAACACGAAAAAAATCTCGATTGGGAAACTGTTTCAACTAAACAATTCCTGTCGACATTACTTCTCAATAAAAACTTGCTCAACACTCGAAACAGCAGGTCATTACCAACTTTCTGTCCAAGACCAGGTGTAAAACGGTCACACAGCATTTGGTGTTACCGGTATAGTGTTGTGGGATCCACACACTGAAAGAACAGTGAAATTGGTAAGCGTTTAGTTGTATAAATAAGCTAGCAGTGTTAGCGTAACTCAACGATAACAGTAGATCTTATCGTTTAAAAAAAGGCTTCTTAAGTACATTGTAGTTTTTAAGGTGGTGATTTTAAAAGAAACTATCGTAGACTTCCTCTTCAAACATATATACTTTTTAAAATAACGCTCATATGCTCAAGTTACCAAGATAAAGTTAAATGATAACGACGATGACTTTTGTGTAGAGATCCACTTATGAATGGGTGTTAGAAGCAAGCGTTTTTAGACTAGGGAATGCAAAAGTTGCATGTTGTATTTTGTTTGGTTTAATTAACAATTGTAAAATCTAACGTCTTGTTATGTGCCGTCTTTCGGCTATGCTATCCATTTCGTAGTCAAGAGCTGACAATTTCAGTCGTTTAAGGCGAGCACGACCGCGAATACATCAGTGAACATATTTACATATGATTGATGTCACAAATTGTCCTCGGAAACGCGCAAGGCTGAATCTGTCGCACTTTGCTAACGTACGCTCAATACTTATAAGTGTTAAAATCGTAGAAGATTAGCGGTCGGTCTTGCTTATGCAATGTCTTAAGTGTGCTATCAAACAGCACCCCAGCAGTACCTGCTGACCCTCTTGTAAAATCAGTATTAGATGCTATGTGATCAAACCGTTGCACGAGAACTTCTGTGTAAGGAAACGGAAGATTCCGAGAAAGGTCCTTATTTCGGTAAGCACTTGGACCTTCTACGTTGTTACGGTACACTTTTGCCACAAATTGTTTTCCACACACCTATTTGACGTCAAAAATCGAAGCCGTTAGATGATTCCATTACAGTACTTCATCAGAATGCATAAACTTGGTTGAATCACACTGAAGAGACCGCGTCTCATCATAGTGCGCGTCTATACATCTGTCTTCTAGCCATTTTCCGTTAAGATTTCTTCTTTCGATAAAAGGAGCCGCTGATGAGCCTTCAGTTTTCGCTAATGAAACTTCACCATATACGTTAAATAAGTTATCGGATACTAAAGCCTCTAAATTGCTCAATTGCTTTGTATTTATCAAAAGCAACGTCCATTGACTTATATAACCTCTTTTATTGTACCTCAGACCTTTCATCTTAAAAGCATCATGAGAAGCCTTAATCAGATCACATGAGAGCTAAAAATAAGACGAGGCTTGTTAAGCGCTTGACAAGCTGATACTACTGTGAAGTAAAATCCCAGCCATTAAACTTCAACAAAGTATGGG